TATTTTGAAGTCAACTTTTTTTCTTTTTACTTAAGATTGTTTTGGCTATTCAGAGTCCTTTTTGGTTCCATATAAATTTTAGGATTCTTTTTTTCTATTTCTGTGAAAAAATGTTACTAGCATTTTGTTTGAGATTGCATTGAATTTATAGATTGCTATCTGTAGTATGAACATTTTAATATTATTAATTCTTCCAGCCAGTGGATATGGAATATCTTTTCATTTATTGTGTCTTCTTCAGATTCCTTCATTATGTTGTATAGTTTTCATTGTACAGGTCTTTCACTTCCTTGGTTAAATATATTCCTAAGTATTTGATTTTTCTTAGTTTTTGTAATTCAGTTAGTTTTCTTGATTTATTTTTCAGATAGTTCTTTTTTAGTATTTAGAAATGCTACTGATTTTTTGTATTTTGGTTTTGTATCCTACAACTTTACTGAATTTGTTTATTACTTATAACAGTTTTTTTTTTTNTTTTTTTTTTTTTTGGTGCAATTCTTAGGGGTTTCTATATATAAGATCATGTAATCTGCAGACAGGGACAATTTAACTTCTTCCTTTTAAATTTGGGTTCATTTTATTTCTTTCTCTTGCCTAATTGCTCTGGTTAGGACTTCCAGTATTATGTTGAATAAAAGTGGTAAGAGTAGGTATATTTGCCTTGTTCCTGTTCTTAGAGGAAAATCTTTCATCTTTTCAATGTTAACTGTGGTGTCAGCTGTGAGTTTGTTATATATGGCCTTTATTATATTGAGGTACATTCCTTTGACAACTAATTTGTTGATAATTTTTATTAAAGGTGTTGAATTTTGTCAGATGCTCTTTCTGTTTCTATTGAGATGACCATATGGTTTTTATCCTTCATTCTGTTAATGTTGTGTATCACATTTACCAATTTCCATTTTTGAATTATTATTGCTTTTCTGTGATATATCTCACTTGATTGTGAGCAACAATCTTCTTAATGTGCTGTTGGATTTGATTTGCAGGTATTTTGTGGAGGATTTTTGGATGTATATTCATTAGGGATATTGGCCTGTAATTTTCTTGTCTTGTGGTATAGTTGTCTGAATTTGGTATTAGGATAATACTGGCTTTGTAAAATATGATGGGAAGTATTCCTTCTTCAATTTTTTTTGGAAAAGTTTGGGAAGGATTGGTTTTCGTTCTTTAGATGTTTGTTAAAATTTAGCAATAAAGTCATCAGGTCCTGGGCTTTTCTTTAGTGGGAGACATTTTATTACTTATTTGATCTCTTGTTATTGGTCTGTCCCTGTTTTCTTTTTCTTCATAATTCAGTCTTGGTAGATTTTATGTCTCTAGGAATTTATCTGTAGCTTCTAATTATCCAACTGTTGGTATATAATCATTCATAGTAATTTTTTCTATGTCTCTTTGTATTCCTGTGGTATCAATTCTGGTTTCTCCTCTTTCATTTCTCATTTTATTTAAGTCCTCTCAGATTTTTATTAATCTAGCTTAAGAGTTGTTGATTTTATCTTTTTAAAAGGCCAGCTCAATTTTATTGATCATTTCTATTATTTTTTTAGTCTCTATTTCATTTATTTTCTGATCTTTATTATTTCCTTTATTCTACTAACTTTGGGCTTATTTGTTCTTTTCTATTTAATTACTTGTGGTATAATGTTACTTTTTTGTTTAAAATCTTTTTTGATGTAGGCATGCATTGCTATGAATTTTTTTCTTAAATATATTTTGCTGTATCTCAGGTTCTAGTATGTTATGTGTCCATTTGCATTTATCTCAAGATAGTTTCAAATTCTCCTTTGACCCACTAGTTGTTCAGGAGCATCTTGTTTAATTTTTATGTATTTGTAAATTTTCTGAAATTCTGTTACTGTCCTCTAGTTTTATATACAATTGTGCTTTAAAAATATGCTTGATATGATTGTAATATTTTAAAATTTGTTAAGATCTTTTTGTGGTTTAATATGTCTATCCTAGAGAACATTCTGTGTACACATGAAAAGAATGTATATGTATTCTGCTGCTGTTGTATTGAATGTTTTGTATATGTCCATTAGACATTTGGTCTAATGTGCAGTTTAAGTCTGATGTTTCCTTATTTATGCTCTGTCTGGATGATCTATCCTTTGCTGAAGTGGAATATGGAAGTCCTCTACTATTACTGTGTTACAGTCTCTCTCTCTCTCTCTAGATATATTAACATTTGCTCCAATGTTGAACACATATATATTTACAACTGTCATTTCTTAATAAAATATTTTATCTTAAATAATGACTTTGTCTTGTTTTACTTTTTTAATGTAAAGTCTATTTTATCTGATATAAATAGCTACCCCTGCTCTTTCTTTTGGTTTGCATTTACATGGAATATCTTTTTCCTTCCCTTCCCTTTTAGTATATATGTGAAGTGTGTCTGTTGTGGACAGTGTATAGTTAGGTATTTTTTTAAAAGCCCATTCAGCCATTCTGTCTTTTGATTGGAGTATTTAATCAATTTACACTCAAAGTAATAATAAATAGGTAAGGAATTATTAGTACCATTTTGTTAATTGTTTTCTGGTTGTTTTGTAAATCTGTTGTTCCTTTCTTTCTCTCTTACTGTGAGATAAATTATAATTAGATGACTTTCTCTAGTGGTATGCTTGATTCCTTACTTTTTATGGTTTGTATATCAACTATAGGGTTTTGCTTTGTGGTTATCATGAGGCTTACATAAAATATCTTATAGTTATAATAGACTTTTTTATGCTGACAATTTTGATCACATGAAAAAACTCAATAATTTTACTCCTCTTTCCACATTTTATGTTTTTGGTGTCACAGTTTACATTGTTTTATATTATGTACTCCTTAACAAATTACAGTAGCTATTATGATTTTTACAATATTGCTTTTGAACCTCCACACTAAAGATACAAGTGACTTAAGTAGCACCATTATAGTAGTAGAATGTTCTGAATTTGACTGTGTACTGATTTTTACCAGAAAATTTTATTCTTTCACATGCTTGACTGTTTTACTAATTAGCATCCTCCTTTTCTTTCAGATTGGAGAAATCCCATTGGCATTTCTTATAAAATAGGTCTGGTGGTGACAAACTGTCAGCTTTGTCTGGGAAAGTAATTTTCTCTCCATTTCTGAAGGATAGATTTGCTGAGTAAAGATTACTTGTTTGGCAGTCCCCCCTCACCACATTATCACTTTGAATATATTATCCCACTCTCTTCTGGTCTGTAAGGTTTATATCAAAAGGTATATTGCTAACCCTACTGGAACTTCATTTCAGGTGATATGCTTCTCTCTCTCTATCTCTCTCTCTTTTTTTTTTCTTGCTTTTAGGATCCTCTTTTTATCTTTGATTTTTGACAGTTTTATTATAATATGTCTTAGTGTAATCTCATTTGGACTGAATCTGAGTGGAGACCTTCCTGTACCTGAATTATTTGTATATTTTTCCAGATTTGAAAAGTTTCCTGCTATTATTTCTTTAACTGAGTTTTCTGGCTTTTTGTTGTTCTCCTATTACTTTTTAACTCCAATAATTTGAGTACTTGCTTGTGATTCTGTCCTATAAATCCCATACGCTTCCTTTATTCATTTTCATTCATTTTAATATTTTTTCCTCTGACTATGTGTTTTCAAATAACCTGTCTTTAAGCTCACAGGCTTTCTTCTGCTACACCAATTTTGCTATTCATGCTCTATTGTATTTTTAACTTTGTTCATTGCATTTTTCAGCTCCAGAATTTTTTAAAAAATAATTCAATATCTCTCTTATTTTGGTTGCTTATTGTTCTTCTGATTTCATTAAGTTGCTTCTCTGTATTTTATTATATTTTTGTGAGCTTTCTTGGAGCAATTATTTTGAATTCTTTGTCAGGTAGTTTACAAATCTTTATTTTTAGTGTGATTATTGGTGCTTTATTTTATTCCTTTGATAGCATCATGTTTCCCTGATTGTTCTTAATTTTTATGACTGTGTATTAGTTTCTATGTATTTGAAGAAGTAGGGACTTATTTTAGTCTTTTTGTACTGGCTTTGTCTGGGAAAATCCTTTACCAGTCAGCTCATCCAGAGATTCTTGGCAGCTGGTCTGGTGTAGTCCATGCATGGGTGAACTTGTTGCTTGAGCCCTTGGGCAGGCTATCTTGGTGCCTGGGTCAGCAGGTGGGTGGGCCTGGTGCTTCAGTCCACAAGGTTAGGCCTGGAATCTGGATCTACTGGGATAAACCTATTGATTAGGTCTATGAGGGTGGACCTAGAGCCTGTGTCCATAAGGAAAAAGAGCCTGAGTCTATAGAAGCTGGCCTGAAACCTGGGTCTACAGAGGCTGAACTGGTGCTGGGGTGGTCTTTCAGTCTGAATCTGCAGGGTCTGTATAGGGGCTGGCTAGGTGCTGGTATGAACCTGGTCCTTAGGTTCACTGGGACATTCCTGAAGTCTGAGTCCATAGGAGACGGCCTGGCACTGGGTAAGGCCTGGATCTTGTGTCTACTGGAGCCTGGGGCCGCTGGAACTGGTCAAAGGCCTGGGGCTGGCCTGTTGCTAGGATGAGTGTGGAATCTGGACAAGTACGGAGACTGGAGGATGGACATGCAGGTGTTAGTCTGGAGATGAGGTACATGAGGGGATGCCTGGGTCTTGGGGCCACAGGTGCTGCCCTGGTATCTGGGTCCACAGGGGTGGTCCTGGAGCCTAGTTCTGTTTGGGGCAGCCCAGCACTGAGGTCTGCAGGGATGGACCTAGCCCCTGGGTCTGCTGGGGCTGACCTAGCCCATGAATATGCTGGATCATGAAGCTGTAGGGCCTGGCATGGAAAGTGGGACTGCAGGGACTGGCTTGGTACTGGGCAGGCTCTTGGAACCTGTGTATTTGAGTGCTAGCCTGATGACTGAGCCCAAGGTTGCCAACCTGGCAAAGGCGCAGGTTTAAAGCCCGAGACTTTGTGGGCTGACCTGGGGCCTGGGGCCATAGGCACTCGCCCAGATGCTGGGTCCATGGGCACCAGCATGATGACTGGAGTTGTGGGGGCTCGTGTCTTTTGGAAATAAAGGATACACTCAATCTAGGGTGAGCATTATGCATAGATACTGTCTGTGTGTCTCTCCCCAAGTGAAATCTGAAACTTACTGAATTTCTTTCTTTGAGTATCTATAGTTTAACATATTTGCCTTGACCTGCTTATGCTGCCCACAGCCCTTCATTCTAGCTCTTCACTAATGGTCTGGTCTGGGCCTATAGGAGAACCTCCTAGCCCATGAAGCAGACAGTTGCTGCTTCATGCACATGTTTGTCTTGACTAAGGGAGCTTATATTGTAAAATATTTTATCAACTACCCACACATATTTTCCTTTTTTTTCATTTACATTTTATTCTCTAAACCCAGAAGTCCTTGAAGGCAAATAGAATTTCTATTTGTGTTCTTTGTATTTCTGGCAACTTGCATAGGTCCTGACACACAGTAGGTGCTCAATCAATGTTGAATTGAACCTCTTCTTAAATGGTAACCAAATTAAGACACAGAGAGAGGAATTTGCCAGACTCAGCTGATTATTTAGAGAGATAAAAAAAGAGTGTGCCTTTCTGACTTTTAAGTGCAATTCATTAACCACTGTACATCACTGTGTCTGAATTCTGTGGAAGGCAGGCTCTATAAACGAAGTGGCTGTACATCAGCATAAACTTCCATGTAAAGGAATGTAAGACAGAAAGGTGATTCAGCAGCAAGGCTCAAACCAAATATAAATGCATTGAATCCAAGTCACTGTTGTAGTTAAGATATGACGTTCATAGACAAACTTGCTTTATATGTCAATTTATATTTATGTGATGTTCAAAATTTTTAGAGGGGGCTGACTCATTTAGTAAGCCAAGTAAGTAAAAATTAGAAGTATCTTAAGCACATTTATTTTTGTAACTACATCAAGGAGAAGAAAAGGGAGAGGGGTAAAAAGAGAATAGTAATAAAGGCTATAAATAAATAAATATTTATATTATGTTTATATTATTATAATAAATTAATAAAATTTCAAAAGGTAACAAAGCTAAAATCGAGTGCCTTGGAAGACCCTAGAAAACATATAGTGAGAATGATTTAAGGCTGGTTGGAAAATTCACACCAGGGATCTGTAAAAAAGGATAAACATGAAGATAATAATTCACTCTGGTTTAAGTGTCACTGAATATATGTTGAAAAAATAAAACAGAAGTGAACTATGGGAACTTGAGGTTGGGAAAATGGATCAACAAATATTAGTTGTAAATATTAAAGCAAGTAACAGTTAGACATAAAATGTTCAAGGAATACTTAAGGGTTTCACTGTTTTTCTTTTGTTGTTCATTCCTTATAGGTAAAAGTGACATTTATAGTTATGTTTGTTGTCTTAAGTAATGTTTAAATTATAAAAAGCATATATCATTGTACTCTGGGGGTTAAACCTATTTTTTTTCCCTGAACAGTGACTGAGACCCATAATTAGTTACTGCTAATCACTTGGGGGTACCTGCCAGATGAGAGGCCCAGTGTGGGGCAGATTTGAAAGCTGCTGTAGGACATTTCATGAAACCTTAACCTTTCTTAAAGTGACTAATATATTCCAGAAGCATATTTAGTATCTTGCTTCTCCACAGTACTGAGTTACCCCCTGGGGACCAAGAGCCTGACAAGCTACTCTAAAAGTTCCACTTAACTACCTGAAAATAATTGAGACAGTGGAGAGAATTAAACTTGATGCATACAGAGTTGACAGTATTTGGATTCTGTGCCAAAGAGTGGGTGAGCATATATTCTTGATGACATTTGGGGGGAAGATGACTGCCCTGTTCCATTTAGTCTGGTATGACATTAAAGAGGGACATGGAGCTTTTTCCCTCCATTTGCAAAAATGGGTACTTGGAACCCACTTCATATGGTTCCCATCAGAGCTGCTTCTAGCCTATAGAGTGACTGTGAATTATTGAAATGATAAGAAGCAGTCTTAGGGCATACTGCCTGGGGAAAGGAAGGTGACTTTGTAAAAATGATGTCCTGTCCTCTGGGCTGATGGGTTGTGTGCAGCCATGAACAGGGTGCCTTGGTGGGGGTGTGGGAGGTAGGCTAGATTTCATCCTCCACCCACTTCCTGGGCCAGGAACCCCTGAGAAGTACACAAAGACACAATTATCATGGGGGCCATGATAATTTTGAAGTATATCAAATTTCAAAACATATGAAAATTCAAAGGTAGCTATTGAGTTCTCTTGCCTAACAACGTTACTTTTTTCGGGGGTAATTTCAGAGACAGAAACCAGGGGTAGGATGAGCTTTATCATTAGTATTTTCTTTGGTCTCAATAGCTGAGGGTGTTATGGGCTTTACCTTATCTACGTTGGCTTCCTTGAGTCTAGTCTCAGTTTTGTGGGCATGAAATTCTTGATCAGAACTCAGTGATAACCAGAGAATGTCAGAGTTTTGATGTGAACTTTAAAAGTCCTCCAAGGTAACCATCGCAGCAGGCCTGACATTTAGCTCAATGGATGAGATCAGGGTGATATTGATGAGCTGAGTGCCAGTTCAATTAATACCCTGTGCTGTTTTCTCTGTGAGAGTGGGTTTATTAGTGTGCTGTATAGACTTCCTTATTACCTGTTCATTGATAAATTTATGCTTATGGTGCTCAACCATATGCCCCTGCCCCTTTTAGCAGAGTGGATATATAGAAACAGGACATGTGTAGTTCATTTTTTTAGTTTTATCAGTTTCTGATAGTGTTCTGTTTTATTGGGAATGTTGTATCATATAGCCTGACCATTGTTTTAAACATAAATACTATAATCTCATCAGTGTTTTAAGAGAGATCATGATCAGATACATGATAGTTAAGGTTTTTTAATCAACTGTATTCAAATATCATGCCTCATACTTTGTTCAAAACCTATACTTCCCCCCTCCTGCCAAATTTTTAACTATTATTAACTCCAAATTATTTAGTATAATGTATTATTTACACATAGTGTACTGTGTTATATGATGATCTAGTCTTTACATTCCAACTGGGTGATTGTAAGTGTCTTGACGTTGGAAGAGCAGCCTCTTCATTCTTTGGGTGTCCCAGATGTTGAACACAACTCTGTAGACATCAAGTGGGTGTTGGATTCAGAAGCATTTGGGTCCAAATCCTGCCTCAACAATGTAGTAGTAATTTTATCTTAGAAATGCCAACTTAGAAATGTCTTTGAGTCTCAGTTTCCTCTTTTACAAAATAGTGTTAAAATACCTTCTTTTTTGGCTCAGTACATGATTAAACGAGGTGAAGTAGACAGAGGAGGTAGCATGATACTAGACCTTCTTGGTAAGCATGTTCCCTTCCTCATTCTTATTCATTCTCCTTCCTGTGATCCAAATCTGTGATTGTCTATCTCTGGTTCAAGGAAGGAAAGAGGTTTTCTAATAACCAGGTATTTTTCTAAAAACATGTAGACCTAGACAGCACATGTCTATGGAATTTGGAAGGCTTAGGCAGATCCTTGCAGAATTATAACAAAATTGTGATTTTATATCATAGCCTTGGGTTTAAAGGAAGGTTAATCTCAGCTTCTACATGGAAACTGTTTCTTCAATTGTTTTAGGGCACTTCCTGTTCACTGTTTCACATATAAGTTTCATGTGATACTTTTCTTTTAGAACTAGTTCCAGGAAAACTTGGTTTACTCTGGGGAACTGGTATTTTTTTCTCACTAGGAGGATTATGTGATTTATGTGTTTTTCTTTTTCTCTGGCTGCTAGGAAACTCAAAAGTTAATATTTAGTCATAGCAACTGTCTTTATTCTTATTGATCCTGGTATTTTATTTCATATATATTAACCTACTTTTATATATAGGTAATATCAGACATTTTTCTGAATTAGCTCTTCAAACTGTGTTCATATTTTCATGAGTACTTTAACAATGGTCTTTTAACATGTAAAGAAGATGTCCAGTGATTGTTAAGGATGTGTTTTGCAGATGTTTTAAATTTCATTGTGAATAGAAAAAAGTCACCTAATATGATATTTTTAGAATAACATGCACACTAACTTTTTTTTTCTGCCATGATTCATGTTTTAGAAAAATAGCTTTTAAACATCTTCAAGGAAAAGAATGTAACTTGGCAGTTACAATTGACAACAGCATCTTCCAGGAACATGTGCCATGTAGGTCCACATGGTTTTAGAAAAGCACTGGGTCATTTAACTATCTTTAAGTTTTACTCTTAAATGTGATCATTATCTGCTATCAATTTGTGAGAAAATGAGCACTTATAAACTCTTTGAGGATATGTGTATTTAAGTTTGTCCTCATCACAAATCAGTCTGATTTGAAACTCTGAAGGCTTGGAGACACCTTATTTCATGGGACGATGCTGTAGTTTCAATGCCTGATGCTTGAGAGTTTTATTCTTTCCCTCAAATAGATTATTTTTTATTGATATTGTGTTCTGTCAAGTTGTAGAACTTGGAACAGAAGTCCACTTAAAACTTACATTGTGCAGCTGAAGTTCAAGACTTTGAAAGGGGCACACACGAGAGGAAAGTTGTCTTGCTTTTCAACTAGATTCTTTAGAAATTTTCAGGGAATAAGAATCTTCAGTGTCAGAAATATGGCAGTGATAATCAGTTTTTATTACATATGCTTTTTATACATAGACTTGTTCTAAATATGGGAGTAGGGAGGATAGGGACATGATGATTTAGAAGGAAGAGTAGAAAGTGAGTATACATTTGGTTATCTAGCCCTACCTTTGCCCAGCCTCCTTGACAACCAGGCTTTCAACTCCAGTGGGGTTGTCTTTCCCCCACAAACATCTCTGAGTTCACATATCTAAGTCAGTATGGTCCCTTTCAAAGTTATTTCTCTGTAGGCACCACTGCTTGCTTTTTTTTTTTTGCAATAACTTGAGTGGTGCAAAGGGTATGTATTTTGAGTGGATTTGAATTGGTGGAAGCAAGTCATTTAGAGTTAACTATGGTAACTCATGTAGGTAACCAACCCAGGTAAAAATAATTTCTATTTAAACACAACATGCACATAAACCATAATAAGAAGTAGATACAAAATACCAGGAAGATTTCTTTTTGGAGCGTGTGAACTGATATTTGGAAATTTCAGAAATGCACAATGAAAGCATTGCTGCACCAAGTTCACCTTTGTGAAAAAGAAAAACTCAGTTATACATGTAAAATTCAGCTTATTATATCAGATACATTTCAAAATTATACTTTATTTATAATGCACCCAGCCTTGACTCCCAGATGCCACATTTCTTGCTAAACAGAGCAAGCCTTAAGAACAAATATGCAGCCATAAAAAGGGATGAGTTCATGTCCTTTGCCAGGGACATGGATAAAGCTGGAAACCATCATTCTCAGCAAACTGACACAAGAACAGAAAACCAAACACCGCATGTTCTCACTCATAAGTGGGTGTTGAACAATGAGAACACCTGGACACAGGGAGGGCAACATCACACACTGGGGCCTGTCAGGGGGTGGGAGGCTAGGGAAGGGATGGCAGGGGGTTGGGGGATAGGGGAAAGATAGAATTAGGAGAAATATCTAATGTAGATGACAGGGTAATAGAAGTAGCAAACCACCACGGCACGTGTATACCTATGTAACAAACCTGAACGTTCTGCACATGTTCCCTAGAACTTAATGTATCACAAAAAATTAAAAAAGAACAAATAAATATGCTTTGTGGTGTAAGGAACATCCAAGTATCTCCTACAGTGGTCTAGAGTCTTTTGAAACCTAAAGGCTATTCTCTGATTAAGAATCTTCTTTTTTATGAACACAACCCTGGAAGATACTATAGTCTAAGATATACCTAAGATATATCCTAAGATATTCTGAGATATACAATATAAGTACCTAGGGAAGAGCAGTGACTTACAAATACACTAACAAGGTGAAAGAATACTGCAACAATCAATCAATCAGCCATCAATTGTTTAATAATTATTGAAACTCTACCATGAATGAAATGCAAGCCCTCATGAAGCGTAATGTTTACTGGGGTCTGAAAATTATAGTACAAATTAGGTGAAGTGAGAGATGGAGGCAGAAAGAGCATATTATAGGAGCTCAGGGCGTAGACACTAAGAAGGAATAGGGAAGGCTTTGGAATATTTTTTCTATATTTTATCATGTATAGAACAAGGAGGCAGCTCAGTGCATCCTGGCAGCTGCTTTCCTCGTGGTGACCAGGACGTTGTTCAGCTCCTCTTGCCTCTACTTGATATGGCTGTGTGTCCCCACCTTTTTATTGGTGAATGTGACAGTCCTTTTGTCCTTGGAGACCTTGAGCTCCATGATGTGCCACTCCTATGGGGTAAAGCCATACACTCCTTGGATCATGTCCCACTTGAACTCTGAGTGCTTGGTGAGGTGCCCACATGGCAGCTGTGCCTCGGCTTACTCACACTCTTGGTCACCTTGTGGACCTGTTCAGTCCTATGACCATGGGGTAGCATGGAGCCGTGGCTGCCATGCATCAATGGCTGCTGTCACAGAAGCTCTGATAGATGCTTTTATTCTTCGTTGTAAGCTATGCCTTGCACCTGTACAGCAGTCTCCACATGGACCCATCCCATGCCATGAACTGTGCTGGCTGCCAGGACTTTTCAGGCCCTCCTCTTGTGTAATCAGCATTGTTGTCCTGTCACACAGGACCTTTTTTGGAAAGGATGATTGATGAGTGGGGGTGACAGGGAAAGAGTGGTCTTTGACTCTGGCCAGGGCTGCTTCTTCAAGTAAACCTAGCCACAGTGACCAGGTGAGGTGGCAAGAAACATTTTATTTGTGACCCATGTGTCCTAATTTTCTCCTTAGTGTGTGAAATTTTTGCTTTCCTTGGAAGGTGAGCTGTGAGCTTGCTTATTTTAAAAACTGCAACCTGTGAGGAGAGAGGGTGTTCTTTGACAACATTACATCATTGAAGCCTCTAGGTGTTGAGTCATCATTATTTTTAGGCAGCTCCATGCTTTTTTTGGTTGTTCTAAGAATAGCCTCTGTGTCTGGACTCTACAGAAAGTCACCACAGTAAAGATTCTGTCACCACTCAGCAGTTGGAATAGGATGCCTTCTTAATTTCCAAGCTCAAGGCAAACATTTTAGAATTTTACTTGCAAACATTCTGCCTTTTTAGGTTTTTCCTGACACAATTGACTTTGTCAGGAGCTGTCACTTGAAGTTGTTCAACCCTTTGTCAGAAGTACTTATGCTGGAAACAACAGCTATAACAACAACAAAGTTTGAAGCCCTCCCTAATAAAAGGCTCCTTATTATCTGCGTTCAATGTACATTTGTTTGTAAATACCTTATTCAGTGACTTTATCCAATTTTTAAATGTTTCAAGACATATTTTCATGCCTTGCATTTTATAAATTAAGTGATTATAGATCCCTCATGTTAGGATATGGGGTGGGAGTGATACTCTTAGAATTTATGCAGGATCTTCAAAAAGCAGCCCTAACACATGTTATTATACCCTGTTAAACTAAATAAACATCTAAACTGTAAACTGCATTGGAACTTGATGACAGGGCATTAAAAAGGATTGAGCAAGCCCAGAAATGGAACTTTGTGG